AAAAGACATAATCATCAGATCAATACCAATGCACCAAGTAATCGAGTAATGACAGCTATTCGGAAATTTTCCCAAAAACATTTCTTTTTTTTTTAACTGTCAAAACTTAAGGACTAAATGAACATAAAATGATTTTCAAAACACTAAAATGGCATACAAACATAAGCTATTAACTTTTGACATAAACGTCTTCAGATTTTAACTGTTTATTCCTTTGTAATGAGGTCTTGCTAGGTTACCTAGGCCAGCCACAAGCTCCTGTGCTCAAGGGATCCTCCTCCTGCCTCAGCCTCAAGTGGCTGGGACAACAGGTGTGCGCCACTGCCCCACTCACTTCAGATTCTAAATGGACGGTTGCTAGTCATCTTTCCACATATTTGCTACTTGTCCTACTTCCTACCTCCTCAACCCAAAGATGTGCCAGAGTGAAAGGAACCCATAGAGATATCTGAAGCAGAGCAGGCTGTCGCTAAGCATTTGTTGAAAAAGATGTTCATTCACATAGATTAGAAATCAAAATTTGGCCACACAAAGTAGCTCACCTTGTAATGGTTAGTCAGCTGGTTACTTTCAAGGCAAATAACAAACGACATGACACACATAAAAGATGCCTGTGCTTTTCTCGGGAGCTTCCTTCACACGCATTACTCAGCATGATTGTTAATATTCACCCCCCATGAGTATACACTGAAGGAATGTGCTTCAGTGTTTTGGTTTCACTCGACAATGCTTTCCACATAGAAAATTATTTCCTCTCTTAAACACTAGGAAGATTTCTAAAGATGCCCAATTTGTCCTTTGGGTTTTATTTCCTTTGATTCACTACTCAAAGATAAAACTTTAGGTTGAGTTTGCGGTTATTTCTCAAATCATTCTCAAATCATTCTCAAATCTCAAGTCATTCCCATACTAATCGAAAACTTTATTTTTGAAAACCATAAAGATATTCTAATAGTTATGTTTTAAGATTACCAATCCATGGGCCGGGAATTTAGCTCAGTGGTTCCGCTGCCTGCCTTGAAAGTGCAAGGACTCGAGTTTCGAACCCCCAGTACCATAAAAAAAAAAGATTACCAATCCACTGAAGTTTATCAAATAAAAGCATACTTGTTTTAAATACATAAGACCTGGTGCCTCTGAACATTGTATGATGCCTCAAAAATAGAATTTAAGCTCATTTAACTATAATCAGTTCTTGATTATCTACACCAGTCATTTTTTCTTAAAAACATTTGTCGCAGATTGCCCACTAATAACTGATAGTAAGTCCTTGTATGATGGTTTTGTATTTACATTTTTGTTTGTTTGTTTGTTTGTTTTTGGTACCGGGATCCAACTCAGGTCCTTGCTCTTGCGCAGCAGCCACAGCAGCCTGGGAAACCACTGAGCTAAATCCCCGCCCCTGAATTTACATTTTAATGAGTATCCCTGAGATGCAAAATTCCTAATTCAAATAATGAAACCATTAGTAAAAATGTAGCCAAGCAACTCAACTTTCCTTTCTCCTGTTCATTTAACTACCTTCTACTTAACTGCTGCAATGAAAGGCTCCTACTTGTTACAAAAGAGGGACTTCATGTGCTTTTTTTTTTCCTTTATGTCTATTACAGCTCAGGGATATTTCTGAGTAAACACCAGGCCTCCCAAAAAGATGTCTTAATAGTAAAGGTGCTGGGTGTGGAGGCACATGCCTGTAATCCCAGCACTTGGGAGGCTGAGGCAGGACAATCTCTGCAAGTTTGAGGCCAGCCTATGCTGCATAGTGAATTCAAGGCCAGTCTGAACTACATAGCGAGACCCTGTCTCAAAATATCAACAACAACAAAAGTATAGGAGATGATTTAATCATAATCTTAAAACAATGTTTCCCTCCCTCAGATCAGAGTTAATTATGTAGTATTTAAAAGATAGCTACTGCATTTATGAACAATAATTTATCTCCTTTGGGGAAAATTCTATATAGTTCTATTCTAAGCAGGAACATTATACTACTCATTTTAGCTATAATGAAATCCAGGGTTAGATTACAGTGTAATTCTAGTTCTATCAAAATAAACAGCACATAATATGTATAACATTCAGAAACTGCATCCGAAATGATAAAACAGCATCCTAGAATTTCTCAGGGCCACCTTGAGAATGAATTCACAGAATCTGAAATGATAGTCCCAGAACCACATTCATGACCTTCCCATCACGTCTACTCCTGGTGCCTTCTTCAAACCTGCCCACCAGTTCTACAGGTTTATCTGAACAGTTCCCTAAGTGAACTGAAATCAAGGACACCAGTTCTGGGGGAGAGGAAGGGGGTGTCACAGACTCTTGGTGTACGAATTCAGACTTGCCCCTCTGGAACGCCACCATATTGAGCAAACTTCAATCCTCTGAGCCTCAGTCTCTTCTCTGTAAAAAAACAAGCTGACCCTCCTGGAAAATTATTTTCTAGATCAAGCCCCTTAGTTTGTGTTCCCCTTACAGCAGATCCCCAGTGAGTGAGATGATTTCGAACTACTACATGGCCAACCTACAAATTATCTATTACAAAGGATTTCACCATGAGGATCACAATTACAGTAGATTGTGATAGATTTATAAATTGCAACATTTTTTTCAATCTTTTATTTTTCAGTAAGATGTTTTCATACAGAGAAATAAAAAATTCACAGAGGTTAAAAAAACTTTTTCCCCCTGCCATACTAGGGTTTGAACCCAGGGTCATAGTAGCCAAGTGCTACATCCCTAGCATTTTAATACATTTTAGCTGGGGCCAGGGATTTATTTAGCTCAGTGGTTCCGCCACCTGCCTCGAAAGCGCAAGGTCCAAAGTTCAATCCCCAGTACCAAAAAAAAAGCATTTTAGCTGGTTGTGGTAATGCACACCTAGTGATCCCAGCCTAGTAATCCCAGTACTTGGGAGGCTGAGGCAGGAGGATCAAGGAGAGTTCAAGGCCAGCCTAAGCTACATAGTGAGTTAAAGGCCAGCCTGAACTACAGAGCAAAAAAGTCTGTCTCAAAAAAAACCCCCCAAAATTTTTCAAACCAACATTTTACACAAAGCCTCCACTATCAACAGAAATTGGAATTGTTAAGTTTTGAAATGTTTGCATGCTTACCTTTATTTAAATCTCACATGGTCAAAATCTTTAAAACTTTCTTTAAAAAGCTGCATTTTAGAACCCAGATACAGCCTAGTTGTCTAAACAATGGGCTACATGATACACCACAGACTCCAGGCAAAGTCACAACAGGATGGGAAAGAGCGTTCAGCCTCTCTCACATTTCCTGGCCTCTGTTATTTTAAAACTGGATACTACAAACATAAACAGGGGAAAAAAATCCAGTTCTGATAACCCCCACATGTTATGATTTATGATCTTTGATTTTAATACCTTGCATTAGTCTGCCTTAAATATTAGTGTTGTTTATTTCTTTTGCTCATGTTTTACGTTCATTGATCATGATTCTTGTTCACATCTCTTCACTAATTATCTATGTACTTTATATACATTATATAGTTTTATGTATTATAGTTTTAATTGTAATAATCTTTTCTTAAAGATCATACTTATGTTCTCCTTTATAATTTATTTTTGAAAATAGTGTATCTTAAAAAAGCTAAGAGAGGGCTGGGGATTTAGCTCACTGGTTCCACCGCCTGCCTTGCAAGCGCAAGGACCAGAGTTTGACCCCTGGTACCAAAAAAAAAAAAAGCTAAGGAGGGCCAAGGATTTAGCTCAGTGGTTCCACTGCCTGCCTCACAAGTGAAAGGTCCCAAGTTCGATCCCCAGTACCAAAAAAAAAAAAAAGCTAAGAGAACATGTAACATGTCACACAGAAAATATAAATACAATGTGCAAATCTGCACAACTAAAGTGATTTGTTTACCACGACGCATGTAATTCCAGCGCAACTGAAAACGCTAAAAATGAGCTAGATTATTTTAAAGTCAATGAGCTATTCTGAACACCGGCATTGTTTCAGGCTCTGGGTATAGCCCACTTTGTAACATTCCCGGCTGTTGCTATACTTAATGCTAGTAGAAACTAAGGTGATGTTTTCATTGAACATTTGCCACTTGTAAATCCACAGTTAATTAACCACAGTTAATTTGTAAAGAAATGCTGTTTTGCTGCCAACCTTTGTACCATGGCAACTAACACTGCAAGTTCAAGATTCACATTTCATTGTATGAAGCTAGTTTCAGATAAACCTTAAAAGAGTTTTTAAAACAAACGCTGCCTATATGTGGACACAATGTATCTACTCCTCTGGAGCATAACAGCAAATGAAACATTTATCAGCCCGTAGGCTGTTAAACTGGGGCAGTGTCTGCTCCGGTCGATTTAACCATCTCTCCACTACATACTTTATGCCACATAAAACGTGCTGCGTTTTCTGAAACTGTATGGAAATACTTCTCACGAGGATGTTAAGGCAATAACCCTATGAAATTACTTCCTACTTAAAATTAAAATCCCAGAGTTAGAGCCTTTTAATCGTCTTAAGGAGCATTTGCAAACTAACAAACATTATGCTCTGGTTCAGTACCGTATCCGTAGATGGACACAGTCCAGGTAATGGGCACCCGGGACAGCTTTACAGAATGCCATCCTGGTCGCCCACTTGAGTAGATTACTAATGGGTTCACCTGTTCTTCACAGCCGAGAACAAACCGCTCTCTTCCCGCAATAAATTTTAAGCGCGTTAACAAAAGAGCAAACACGAAACCTCAGGGTGCTGGTCAGAGAGCGTACGCAGGGCTGCGCACCTGAGCGCCGGCTTCTACCTGGCCGGGGAGAGGTTAGAGGCACAGGGCGAAAGAGTGTTGGCCGCGGACCCGGAGGAGGACCAAGCCCTCTTGGTTCAGAGGACCGGCCGTGGACCTGGGGGAGGACTGACTCCTCCTCAGTCCCAGGAAAGGAATGACCCCACCGCGGACCCGGGGGAAGACCGAACCCTCTCAGTTCGGAGGAGGACAGGCCACGGCCCGCCACACTCACCGGCGCGGGTCAGGGCAGGTGCTCGGGCTGCGCTGCGCGAGGGTCGAGGCTGACGAGGCGAACAGTGGCTGCTCGCTTCCTGCTCGGACAGAGCCGGGTCAGCGTCCGCCCGGAGCCCGCGAGCCCCCACCGCCACGCACGTCACGGCTACGGAGGGCCCGAGGGGGCGTGGCCTCCGAGTGGAGGGGCCCGGGACGCTGGTGGGCGGTGTTTGGGGCGGAGACTCGGCGCCCGTCCCGCCTCCGCCCCGCCTCCCACCGCGGGTGCTAGGGAATAAGGGCTTCCACTCCGCGCTGGGTAGTTCTCGCCTGGCCCTGCGACCCTGCGTCTGCCCCTGTGAGAATCGGGCGGAAAAGACTGAAACTTATTACGAGTGGGACGAGGGCTGGGAGCGCTGCTGATGGTGGAGGACAGCACCCAGCACTGCCGGCTTGCTGGGTCGCCCACGTGGGGCGAGGTGACCCTCCAGTGCCGGTTGCTTTTTTTAGTGTGTGCTTGTGATACACAATAATTGCCTTCATCTTGGGATCTAGTACATGTACAAGTGAGAACTCCCCCTTCCTTCCCTCCTTCCATGCCGAGATCGCCTTCTCATCTCCACAGTCCCAGTTTCTTATCTTTTATTGTGCTCTTTAAATTATTTATAGTTTGGGTTTCTCATATAAGAGAAACCATGCAATATTCAACATTCTGAGCTGGCCGCGGAGGCGCTCACCTCAGGAGACTAAAGCAGAGGATCGCCGCGAGTTTGAGGCCAGCCTGGGCTACATAGTGAGATCAAGGCCAATATAAACTATATAGCAAGATCCTGCCCCCCCCCCAAAAAAAACTCTGTGTCTGATTTATTTCACTTAACTTCATGGTCTCAAGATGCATTCATTTCCCTACAAATGATTCAAATGAACCCTTCATGGCTCCATTGTGTATATAGACACCACATTTTCTTCAGTCATCTGTTGATGGATATGTAGGCTGCTTCCAAGACTGAGCTACCTTGAGTGTGCTGCTATAAACATGAATATGCATGTGTAAGTGTAGTATGATTCCTGTAACTCTTTTAGGAAGATACCTAGAAGAATAGCTGGCTAAATGGAATTTCTATGTTTAGTTTTTTGAGGAAACCGTACTGATTTACATAGTGGTTGTACAAGTTTATACTCTCACCAACAGTGCAGAACTGTTCCTTTTTCCCCACAACCTCATCAGCATTTGTTGTTTTTTGAGTTTTTGAGGATGGCCATTCTTAGTGGAATAGGGAGGATCTCCGTGTTCTTTTGATTTGCATTTCTCTGGTGGCCAAAGATACTTGAGTGAAGTGTCTATTCATTTCAATTGCCCATTTTTAAATTGTTCTTTGATTTTTGGAGTCTGATTTTTTTTTAGCTCTTTATGTATTTTACATATTAGTCCTTTGGAGGACCGGGCCTGAAATGGAAACTTAGAACCTGAAAACCATGAAAAATAAAAAAATTTTAAAAACAGAACATTTACTCCCCCACCCCCACCCCCTGAACTCAAACTCAGGAACTTGTGCTTGCTAGGCAGGAACGGTGCCACTGAGCTAAATCCCTGGGCCTCACCCTATTTACTTTTAAGAGCCTCTATCTTTCTGTTTTAAATTTTACTGTCTTTATAAGTGACTTATCTGTGAGTCATCTTTTAAAATTAAGTATGAATTACCTGTGCAAATTTGAGTCAGGATGAAAACATATATCAACTTTAAGATGGAAAAGAAGCTCTAAGAAAATGAAAGAATTGACTACAACAGTAAATATCTCTACTGAAAAAAAAAAAGGCAGAATACTTACACATGACAATGACCCTTTTCCACAATATTTATAAAAGGCAACTTGGAAACTTTGGGAAATCTGTAGGACTTGAAAAGGAGACAAGTTGCAGATACTTGGAGGCCCTACAATTCTTTTGGTCAAAAAGCTAGGTTCAGATGAGAAAATTTAACTAACAACAAAAACAGTAAGATATTGAGAATAAAACAGGGAAGTAAGAAAGAGGAAGAGAAACCAATAAAGGAAATAACTTACAGCAATCTCAGAAATTTAATTCCAGAGTACCAGGAGGTAAATCTTTGAAAAAGATGAAGATCACTTTGGCAAACCAATAGAACAAAGGAAGCTATTATATTTCATAGGTATGTGTGTGTATGCACGCGTGTGTGTGTGTCTGTGAGACTAATGATTTTTGTGATTTTTTTCTCCTTTGTCCCCCACTTCCAATCTATTGCTGAGTGCCTTTGCTTCTGGCTCCATATCTCTCTGCTCTGCCCAGTTCTTTCAGGACTCCATCATTTCAAGTCCTGCCTACTGCCCCAGCCACCTAACCAATTTCCCAGGCTTCAGTCTTGTCTCCTTCTGTCACTATGCCTACGATGCCACCAGTTCATCCTTTATGAGCGTCCGGTTACTCCTTATCCCATGATGTCCCTCCACTACCCTGAATCTAAAGTCCAAACCCTTAAAATGGGTTCTGGCTTCCTTTGTGTTCATTTGTTTTGTGGTGCCGGGTCTGGAACCCAGGGCTCTGCACTACTAGGCAAGCTCTCTCCGCCTAGCTATACCCTCCGTGCCTCAAGAGCCTTCTTGATTTAACCACAGTCACCACACTGGTTAGTTTTGTTTGAGCAGTCCAATGGGGCTTTTGTTTATTTTTTAACTGAATTTAAATGTCTTTTTATTGTCATATGGTCCCAGGTTCATCACTGTCCTAAAACTCGCAAAGCTGTCCTAAATTAGTTTTCTGTGTACAGTGTCACCTTTGGAATCACTTGCATTTTGGACCACTGTCCTATCCGTGCCCATACCTCCCATCTCATTTCTACCAACTGCCTTTCTCCATTTCTTGTTCTTTACATTTAAACCAATCTGAAGTGCTTGTGTGTTCCAGAACAGACACTTACGCTATTCATTACATGGGAGCCATGCCAAGCTAAACCCAGTTAACCCTTCAGAATAAAACTGATTTGTCCCATCCAAGAAGCTGCCCCTAGACACCCTTGTGATAAATCCAGGGTGCAGTTTGCTCTTTCCCAGCTCTCACTTGACACCCATTCCCCAAATGTCTCTCCTGACACATACGGCACTGCTGCTGCTGAAGTTTACACACGAGTTCCCCCAAGGGGACTGTGGTAGGAGACTGTGCTCCTATTGCCAAGCACAGTGGCTTCATTCAGTAGGCATTCAGTGAACGGTGCCCAGCATTAGCACTGCTGTGGAATAAGTGGGGTGGGTGGATGAGTGAACCAATTACTAGATACTTGGCAACCCCAAGAAACTGTGACACTGTCACTGAGCATGGTGATATTGCCAGTGATATCTGATCACCAGGCCCGTCTCCAACTAGAATCTTATTTGGTTGATTTAGCCTTTATCCTTGATATTATCCTTCAGTAATTTTCAATCCCCTGCCCTCATCTTGCTCCATGGCTATAAATTCCCACTTGGTTTATATCTAGATGTCCCCCCAAAGCCTCATGCACTGAAAGGTGGGGCTTTTGGGAGGTGACTGGGTCACCAATGGGTTATCGCTGGGTGCAGTGTTGGGATCACTGTTGGCGTGGCCTGGAAGGGTCTATCTTTCCCTCCTCTCTCCTTGATCCCTTGCTCTGCTTCCTGCCTGCCATGCCATGAGCTGTTTCTCCTCTGCCCTGCTGCTCTGCCTTGGAAGCAGCCCACTATGGATCGAAACCTCTACAAACTGTGAGCTGAAATCAACCTCTCTTCCTTTAACTTGTGAGGGTCAGGGATTTGTCCCAGTGATGGGAAAGTAACTAAGACACCCATGCTGTGTTCAGACTTTTGCCTGGTGCAAAGTGCCACTCCATGATGCTTATACATGTCACAATGATACCGAATCAATTCTTATTGCACTTTAACAAATATCATGGAATAATGTTGGTCTTTTCCTTCCAGATTAGCTTAAGCTCACAAGAGCACTTCACAACCCTGCACTGCCCCACAGCCATAGGAACACAGACATCCGGGGCTATGTCGCCATGTAACTGTCAACCTCCCAAACCCCGTTCGACTAGTGCTTTTTCTGTCCTAACTCTCCAGGACCCACTCCATACCGACACTGTAGCACTTGGTAAGTGGTCTTTTAGTTATGTTTTTATATCACTTTCTACCTCTAATAACCCTTCAAAAGCCTGAATTGGAGTTTGATTTTGTTTCGTTTTGCTCCTTTTCTGCAGACCTAAGGCTTGAACCCAGGGCATCACACGCACAAAGCACACTCTTTACTACTGACTTACATCCCCAGCTCAAAACCCTGAATTTGTTTAAATTAAAAATTCTGCTGGGGATTTAACTCAGTGGTTCCACTGCCTGCCTTGCAAGTGCAAGGTCCCAAGTTCGATCCCCAGTACCAAAAAAAAAAAAAAAAATTCTGCTTGCACTTGCAGTCCCTGCTGCTGGGGAGGTTGGGGGGCGGGTTGTCAGTGAGCCCAGAAAGTGGAGACCAGCCTGGGAAACTTACTAGGATTGTCTCAAAAAGCCAAAACTTCCACTGTCTGTTGCTTTACCTACAAGTATTAATGCACAGCCTCTGTCAATGAATTCATAAAAATGACAATCCCAACCCTTTTTGACTGCTAGCACTGTGCTGAGCACTCTAGAGATTGTTCCATTAAAGCTTTACCTTCCTATGAGTAAATTAGTGAGTATTTGGAGCTGGGGATTTAGCTCAGTGGCATTGTGCCTGTCTCGAAAGTATAAGGTCCTGAGTTCAGTCCCCGGTACCTGAAAAAAAAAAATTAATGAGCATTTGCTTTTTGCCCACCTGGCTTCTGAATTCCATGTTATTTATTTATTTTTTCTGTTGTACCGGGGATCGAACTTGGGACCTTGGGAGGCAGGCAGCAGAACCACTGAGCTAAATCCCCAGACCAAAAATCCTTACCTTTAAGTCTCAGTGGAGGCAGAGGCCACTTCACACTTTGAAACTGATTTGGACCAAAGTTCTTTTCTTCTATTACCTGACATTTGGGGCCCCAACATGGCACTGACCTTAACTAAGCCCAGTGAATACAGATCTCACCTGAAACAGGGTTTGAGTAAAGTAATGCAAAGATGCAGAGCTGGAGAGATGATTACAGCATTGCGGGTGGCTGTGGTGCCTGAGTCTGTGAAG